TAAATTGGCAGCAGCAAGCCCAGGGCCGGGTTCACTGGCGGAACATGGGAGATGCCTTTGTCCTGCAGTGAACGTAGACAGGCTGATGATGGTGATGATGATGATGATGATTCACGCAGGTCACCCTGTACGTTCCCGGGGTGCTACTCTACCCGTACCCGAAGATGAACACAATCCTGCTTTTCGAGACCGAGTACACGCCACCGGGAAATAGGACTGTTAGCTTCGTGGACGTCCCCAACATCGACGGTCCGGTTTCAAGCGACCCTGTGCGCTTCACGGGATAGCGATCTACTTGCGGGGCATCCAGAGTTTTGTCCCCCCCTTTAGAGCTGTTCCACGCGCTCCCCGCACAGCCGCAACGCACGTGCCGGGACCCCAACCGCACGCAAGCGGGGGACAAATAAGCCAGTTGGCAACGCTCTTTCACCCTCCGCAGCGTCACCAGTCGGCTTATTTGTACCACGCTTGCGTGCGGTAGGCGTCCCGGCACGTGCGTTGCGGCTGTGCGGGAAGCGCGTGCAACGGCCTTTACACCCTCCGGGTGTACGATTGCTTCCAAGCCTATCCCCCAGACCCCCCCCCCCCCCCTTTTTTTTTTCCTTCTTTTTTTCAGGGAGGATGTTCTCGAGTGCTTCTCAATGCCCCGCCACCACGATGTAAGTTCTAGAAAGACGAGACCAGATCGAGGAATTGCGATGGGACACTTGAAACGCTAGAAGCCCTCCGTCCAGCTCTTTCTACATCAAGCAACAACACTGGTGGAGAAGTACAATAAATGATGCAAGAAAGCAGACAAGTTGAAGGACTGAACAATAAACGAGAAAAAAAAACGTATTATGCGCATTTACTATACGTATTATGCGCATTTCGAAAGCCGCCCGCGGCGCAAGGTGATCAGTCATAATTTTTGTCTAGGTTTTATTTCATAGGTAATGTAACATACTCGCCCCTCTTTCTTGTCTTGCTATGGTAAGGTCGTACTAAGTGCTGCAGACAGGTGTTGTATATCCAAAAGGGTGGACTGTAGCCTTTCTTGGTAGATCACGCTTTAAATATAGAGAGAGTGATAAAAGCAAAACAAGGTTTCTGTTATCAGTCTCCTCAACTTTTATTGCGCTTTCTATTGAAACTGATGTCATGCTGCAAATCACTTTCCCTGCTACAATATAAACATTCTGGCTTATTTCCATTACATTCGAGGAAAAATAGAAACAGTACACCACTACCGAACAAACATTCATAGTACCCAGTACCCAGCTCAACCATTTCCACCTAAGGCCGTTCTGTGCAAAAAATGACCGTAGGTTAAATTGTATTTGTTAGCGATAAATGCACCACGAAAGCATTGATATTTGCTGAGATGAAAGACGTTCTCTAAGTTTGACGAAACTATGTGACGTTTCGGAACCGCATACAGTGAACTGTATTGTTCACTCTATGCTAACCTGTTCACTGACCAGTGAACTGAACTGGACGTCGTTGTCACATATCCAGTATGCGGCTCCAATGTGTTAGATAATTTCACCACACTTCGTCAGTCCCCGTGTTTCATCTCATTCAATGCCAGAGCAAACGAACTTTCATCGAACTCTTGCCTACATTATATGCGCTACTTAAAATCACTTGCTGTCGGTTCCATGTTCAGGTAACACTGACTACATTATTGGCTCGGGCCTCAGTGAGGTCCGATCTGTGGTCGAGCCAAACCGTACCAGGTGGGTAATTTTGTTTAACGTGATAGCGTTAGAGAGCTCGTGTCGCAAAAATTCCGCCATCAACGCCGGCACCGTTGGTTTTGAGCGAAAAAATCGAAAAAAATGCAAATAAAATAAAGAACGAAATTTCGGTCCCATTGAGGATCAAACCCGGACCGTTCACGTAGCAAGTAGGTGTACCACAAAGCCACGATGTTACTTGCAGCTGCTTCAAAAAAAAAAAAAAAACACTACATAAACGCCACGCAGTGGAAGGAGTCTCCTTGACGCATTTTGTTCGACAGGTGTCACGATGCCAAACGAGCCCATTCGGCGATTTGTAGGCGAGTTTGGGACGCCATCAAACTGCGTCGAAAAAGGCCGGGACAGGGCCGCCATCGCCGATAAACACACACAGGAACTTTCAAACAGCTCTACATATTGATAACTATGTCCATCTAGCGGAAAACATATCATGCCTTTCTACAGGTGTTGATCAAGCGAACAGCAAACTCCAGATAATGTGCTGCCGTCTGTGAGGCGTTGTGAGACTCTTTATGCCCCTTCAAAAAAAAAAATGCTATTGCAACAAACCACAGCACTTGCATAGGTTTAGCTTTTCATTCTCACGACACCATTAAGAATTCAAGTACTACAGTTGCCATTTCATAAGGCGACGCTTGTTGCGGTTGGCCGGAAGAGGTCTCTAGAACAACAAGCCGAACAATTGTCAGATAACTAAAGCAAGACGGACGACAGAATGTGACCATTTACAAATACAAGAGTCACGCCTACGAGCAATTTATAATACAGGACCATGTGACTATATGACTGACAATATTTTCCTGAAGTTGTTATAAAAGTGTTGTTAAACAGATCAAAAACCCGTTCCATTACTATAGATGCGTCGCTCTTGCAAGCAAACGCGTTTGTGTGTGTGTGTGGTTGTGTGCGTGTGTGTGTATAACAAAACCTATTTTAAGTATGCACTTAGCAGTTGAAGGGCGTACTAGGGGCCGGATTTCGCTATCGTGTTTAACACTGAAAGGCGAAGCTTAAGGGTTCCCAAATTTTCTTTTCTTTTTTGAGGGGACGGGGTTGTATCGAATCTGTGTCTTGCTTTGAGTCATCGGGCGGAAATATATAGTAAACGAATGTCGGGCCCAGACCAAGGCCTGGCCGGGAATTACTGCCCATGCATTTTTCGATTACCCATCGTCCCCATGCATAGTGGCAGAACAGTCGCAGAGCCAGAGTTACCTCTAGTTGCTAATGAGAAACTCTACGCTTCAGTTAAGGACATCATAGATGAAATCAAAAAGAAGAAATAGACATGGGCCGGGAATGTAGCGCGTAGGAAGGATAACCACTTGTCACCAAGGGTAACTGACTGGATTTCCAGAAAAGGCAAGCGGGCTAGGGGGAGACAGAAAGTTGTGTGGAAGTTTACGAAGTTTGCGAATATGAAGTGGCAGCAGCAAGTGCAGGAGTGAGTTGACTAGCGAAACATGGGCGAGGCCTTTGTCTTGCAGGGGACGTGTTCAGGCTGATGATGATGATGATGATGATGATGATGACTATTATTACGATACTTCAGTTTACATAGACGCCTTGTCATTGCGATCATGAACACATCTGATAACAAGTCCTGTCCCGCTCCTGGTGCTCACTGATCCACCTGATGATCACCTTGTGGAAGAACTGTGAAGAAACTCTTTCGCAAGAGCACACAGGTTCGCAAAACATGCGTGCGTTCTCCGTCAGAATAAGCATATTTCATTTTAATATCATTCTATTACCCTAAAAACCCTGAAGACTCTTCTTGGGGGTGTTATATAAGCGTAGATGTAGATAAATTATTCGAAATGGTAACCACATATGTTAATCGCGAGACAGGTATTGTGTTACACTTCGCAAGGATAAAATAAGGCAGGTAAAGGCGGTAATGCTGTAATGGAGGCAATATAAGCACTACGTAACATCTTCACGCTTCTCGTGTTGGTAAAACCAAAGTTTCTGTTATCATTGCTCAATTATAAACAACTCGTTATTTAAGACCTACGCCGCTCATCAACTTATCTGTGTGCGTATAAAATATGTACATATCTGTAGCGTCATGTCATTAAGTTGGTTAAGTGAAAAAAGTTACGTCACAGTCACCTACCCACCTCTTGTTTCGTATACGGCAGCTCCAACTGTACATCAGATCTGCCGGTTTTTCTAAAAGGAAGTTTGGCTTGGAAAAAGAAGAATGGACGACCTATGCTTATAGTGTTTTTTATGTAACCTCACTGCGAGCTAAGGGCCAAGTCGCTTAAGGCTTTCATTCATTCAGCGTAATTTAATCAAAAGTTGATGCGCCCTGTAGGAAACCCGAAAGCAAAACTTAAACAAGTTCGCGAAGTGCTCGATAGGTAATTTCACACATGTTTTTCTAACTACTTTTCGTTTGCTAGTGATTAAATAGAAGACGCACGGATAACCAATGGATTATGTAGAATAAGAATTCATTATTCCCGAACAATAATGAATAATGAATCTCCGTGAGCTGAAAAAGAAGCAAAACAAGAAACTTGACGTTCCTAAATTTAACTGCAGTCAGGGTTTAAAACGGGCGAACATGAATTATATGATTGGCTACATTAAGACCGTCCAACAGCTCTTTAGTTGCGGCCCCATATTGGGATAAACGACATCGTTTCCATTTTCCTATCGTTGTATGTTCGCTTGATGCTGGTGGCGAGTTGTCTATTCGTCCGCTTTTATTTCATGACATTTCTTATACGCACTGCACTACAATTAGTCTACAAACAACATCCCATATACCTTCTTGGGCAGCGTTCTTAGTAGAGTTTCACTAACGCTATGTGTAACAAAGGAAACAACTGCTCGTACAGTTCTTTTCTTTCGCTAAGAGCTTGTATAAGTGATGAGTATTCAAGAAGTGATCACTGTCACGAGGAATACATTACTTTGGGTTATTTTATTCAGACACACCCACAAAAGAGAAAAAAAATCGAAACATTTAGCGCCGTGCAAAACAACTAGACACGTCGTATGCCAGTATGCTAGTGGAAAGCGTTGCGCGTCGCTGCACTCACTTGATGATGCTTCAAATAAACAAGAAGGAAGTAGACCACAAAATAGAGGTTCTCTGAAAACACAACGATGAGGAACAGGTGTAATGCGTATACTTCTCCGAATGGCCACAGAAGCTTCGGAGATAAAGGAAGACGTTTTTATGAACTTATCAGGAATGTTATGCGAGCCTTCTCTATAGGAGGGCACGTTTTCCGCAACTCCATGGAAGGCATGGACGTATGGAGCTTGAGTGCCATTCTCGTGATCCTGGCCACACCAGCGTCGTGCGGCCTCTCCTTTTACATTGACTATGACAAGCACACCTTTGTCAAGGACGGCCAGCCCTTTAGACTGGTGGGCGGCTCGATGCACTACTTTCGCGTTCCCAGAGCATACTGGGATGACCGCCTGTACAAGCTCCGAATGGGCGGCCTGAACGCCGTAGACTTTTACATTGACTGGAGCGGGCACGAGCCGGAACCGGAACAGTACAATTTCATCGACAACTATGACGTCGTGGCCTACCTCGAAGCCATCAAGAAGGCTGACCTCTTAGCCGTCATCAGGCCAGGCCCGTACATATGCGGTGAGGTGGACAACGGCGGCTACCCTTACTGGCTCCTCCGCAAGCATCCGAACATACGCTACCGCAGCACGCAAAAGGAGTACGTGGACGAAGTCACCAAATGGTTCAACAAGCTGCTACCGATGTTCGTCCCGTATCTGTACAAGAATGGAGGACCCATCATCATGTTCCAGGTTGAGAACGAGTACGGTCACCTGGACAACGGTTGTGACCCGAACTACATGGAATTCATGCTCACTTTACAGGAGAAGGGGCTCGGCAAGGACGTGGTAATGTATCACACGAACTTTCCCAACGAACGACGCTTCTATTGCGACAAGGTACGCGACATATTGGCGGCCGGAAACTGCGCTTCCGAGTGCAACATGTCCATCTTCAACACGATCCGCAAGGTCCAGGTTAAACCGGGAGGTCCTCTCCTGGTTGCCGAGTACTACACCGGTTGGATGAACTTCTGGGGTTGGGACAACAATCCAGCCTACCCGGCAAAAGTCCTCGATACCTTCAAGAAGTTGATGGACGAAGGCGCGAACATTATCATCTACATGTACCATGGCGGAACGAGCTTCGGCTTCAAGGCTGCCACAAGCGGCGACGCGCCTATAGTGACAAGTTACGACTTCGACGCCCCCATCGGCGAAGACGGGGACCCCAAGGCTTACTACTATTCGCTGAGAGACGTCATCGGCAAGTACTTACCGCTCAAGCAGGGAGATGCTCCGAAGGGTTCACCAAAACTAAAACTGGATGCGGTGTACATGACCCACGTCATGACTCTCGCAGAGGTCATGGACCACTTCCGACGGAAGGGATGGCTCAGGAGAACCAGTTCCAAGTATCCAGTGACATTCGAGCAGCTGGGACAGGACTACGGATTTCTCGTGTACAGCACGGAGGTGCGCATGGACATCAACGGGTCTCAGTTGTTAAAGGTGCACGCACTGCGTGACATGGCCCAGCTTTTCGTGAGGGACGAGCGTCACATGATGCGCTGCTTCCATACAAGCCGTTTACATGTCGTGACAAACGCGACCGTGAAACTCACCAAGGGTGAAAGGATTTCCATTTTTGTTGAAAATATGGGCCGAGAACACTTTGGACCGAAGAATCTCGACCCCAAGGTGAGCAGCCTAGAGCACGCGAAGAAAAGTAAAATACTGCATTCGCGCGAAGGCACGATAACAGCTGGTCATTAAGAGTAACAGACCAATTCAAAAAGAAGGCAAGGACGTTAGAGGAAGGCGGAGAGCTAGGTAGGCGCATGAGATTCAGAAAATTTATACGGATAACGTAGTCGCAAGCAATCACAGGAATGACCGGGGTTGATTGACGAAACACGGGAGAGGCCCTGCTGTGGGCACAGTTAGAGATGATGATGGTAATGACTGCATTATTCTCTGTTTTTTATAAAATCACAAATTGTTGGGTGACTGTGTGATGGCCTGTTTACTATAAACAGTTCGAAAAAAAAGTGCTTACTTGTATTCAGTGACAAATATTCAGTGATTATCAGTGCACCCTCCAATTCACAAAAGCCCTTCCGATTAGAACATAATAATGCCATTTTCCAAGAAACTGACCTAATTACTTTGAGACAAACTTTATGCACGCTTTATCAAAATTCGCATGACCCAATTACATATCAGCAAAGCAAGTATTTTCTTTCAGTACACATGTTCTGTAAATAAACTCATTGCGATGGTAATTACTTTCTTTATAAGTAATTCTTTATGAGTATAAGCATAACTAATACTTAGTAATTACTTGTTGCGCGTTACTTGCTTGACTACGCGGTAATTACTTGCTGGATGGTAATCACTTTTCATATAGGTAATTGCTGCGTAAGGAACAATATTGAAAACTGCGTGTCGTCGAATACCGTCTTTATTCAATGAACAGCTAGCAAAACTATAGCCAAGCGGAAGGAAATGCACTGGACCACACAGTGCTCTAAAATTGAGCTACGTCCTTATATGAACAGCCGCTACACCATACTCCTTGTCCCGCAGAGTGTACCAGCCCTACCAAAACCATGTCGAAATGACTGAGGGCCACTAAACAAAAGAAGAAAACAGACTGAATTTTGACAATGTACTGTGCTTTGCACGCAGGGTATGCAGAACGTGACTGTGAATGGTGTCAACCTGACCGACTGGACCATCGAGGCTGTGCCGGTGACGAGGAACAGGGATGTCACCGAGTTGATGCGCCTGCTGGAAAGCCACGGTAAAGGAGACGTGGACGGCAAGAAGAAGACGCCGCGCTTCTTTCACGGCACTTTCAAGCTACGCGAAGGGCAGAAGCCGCTGGACACATTCCTAGACCCGGGGAACTACACGAAAGGAATCGCGTTCATCAACGGCATCAACTTGGGTCGCTACTGGCCCGCGGCCGGACCGCAGATCAGACTCTACGTTCCGGGCGTGTTCCTGAGACCACATCCCGAAGAGAACAAACTAATCATGTTCGAGGTGGAAGGGTTGTGGAGCGACAAGGGCGAACGTGGTGTGAGATTTCATGACAAGCCGTACCTCACCGCCGACCCGGCAAGCCCACACCCTTAAATGAGTTACGTAAAGGTCGATGCAACTGCGGTGGAAACTTCTAGTAATGCGACGTTTTGATGCAGTCAACATCATCACGCCGCTTTACGCCAAGTGAGGTCAGTAGACTGAGTTAAACGGCTGATATTTCCTCTGTGGAAATGGTACGCGTTAACACTAGGTTATGAGAGTTTCTTGTCATAAAGCAAATAAAGAGGATCTTCGAATCTTCAAATAAGCGAGCTCATATACTTGGTGCTGCCTAAGTGAACCATAACAGGGCCTCCACGATTGAGTACAGCGCGGAGAAATGCGAGAGAAAATATGGAAATAACTTTTCAGGCATCGGAGTGACAAAACGCAGCTGACAAGGGTGCAAGTGTTCATAACACTATCTTCGAACGGAAGGGCGTATTTTGCAATCCAATATGTCGAATTATTATAAGTACGAGTATATTACAAGCAATCGCTGCTGAAACACGAAGTAAGTGTTCTCTCTTATATTGTTCCAGACTGCACAGCGTGCTCTGAATTTCTTAATTATTTATATGAAGTTTCCCTCCTTCCTTCTTAGAACCCTTCCCCACCAACCTTGGCATTGAGGAAGGCCGACCGCATTCAAGGCTGGCTAGGGTCCCGTCCTTTCCCTAATTACTTTTCCTTCTCTCTCTCCTACAAGAAACATGAGACCCCGTGAGATATCACGTGTATCATTGTTGACTAGCGAACACATCAACAAGCCCCACCACGGTGGTCTAGTGCTAAAGGCACTTGCTGGCGGACCTGCAGGTCACGACATTGAACACCCGGCCCCGGCGGCTGCATTTCCGATGGTAGCAAAAATGATTGAGGCCCGTCAGCTTAGATGCACCGTAAAAAAAAACCTAGGTAGTAAAAATTTTCAAGGCCCTCCACTATAGTGGTTTTGGGACGTTAACACCAAACAGCAAAAAAAAATAATTAACAACATTACTGGAGTCAATTTATTTTAAAACCCAAAGAGCTCACAGAGTGTCTCAAGAATGAAATCCTTGTGTTCTCTAAACACGTCGCACTTACATGCGAATATGAACGTTACAGAAGTGTATGATGCAATGAATGCACCAAGCAGCATGACATGACGCCACTACGTTAACCCGAAATGCAAGGTCTTCGCATTACGTGAATTATCATAACTTAAATAAACCAATTTTTCTGAACTTATGTTATATTATAATTAAAACCATCGCCTCAAATTATCATGAAGTTATGAAAATGGTTTGTATTCTGTTAACCAATTGCTAAAAGTCTGACAAATCATGAACAAACCTTAGCAATCCAATCTGTTCCGCGTCCTTCGTTGGCAGACTTCGCGGTGTCTTTCAATGTATGTAAACAAAAAATTAGCACTGCGAAAGCACGTGAAAAAAAGCACACACACTACGTTTACGAACCCGTTAACGGAAAAACCGAAATTGTATTGTTCTTTAGAATGTTTTTCAGTACAATACTCTGTTCTTTGCAGCTTCCAAAGAACACCGTCAACACAGGTCACTTGTGAGCCAGTTAAAAAATAATGAAGGCTGTGACCAAGTTCAAGAAGTGCTCTGCGGGATGTACCTTGTAATGAGGCTAACATATTCCGAATAGTAGCGGCATATCACACCTAAGCGATCTCACTGGATCTGTACAACTGTGGAGAGAGGATGGCTTGAAAAAAAAAATGAATGGTTTTCAAGTACAGTTCAAAACAAAATATTCACGTCTCATTAGACTGCTAGACACTTCAGTGGTTAACCAGAGTGCCAGATAAACTAAGTCACGGTAACACCGTAAAACATCAGGATATTCTGTTGTTTGGTTTTTAGTTTTCGTTGTTATAAGCAAGAAATAACTAGAGTGTGGTATGTGACTTGCTAAAGGGGGGGGGGGGAGAAGGGACAAGGCATTTGAATAAACGCAGCCAACTCAGCAGCAAAAAGAATGCATTGAGAATACGTGAGTATGCCATGAACTTTGGATCCTCTAACATGCAAATTTATGTTAAAAGTACATCGTTTCTCGACAGAGGCGCGTCAGAGAAGTTTAATAAACTTTAAATTAATAAGTTAAAACAAGCGTGCTTGTAGACCACATAAAAGCGAAAAATAAACTTGAAAACGCCAGCAAGTGCGTAAACGTGCCACCTGTCAAACTAGGACCGACTAAATTAGAGCGTAAGTTACTGGTTATAGGTGCAACGTGTCTAATTTTCGCGTGACATCAATAGGCGCAAACAAGATCGACTGTGTCGGGCACGAAAACGTAAACACCTGTGGCAATACGAAGATAACAGCGACCGAACGGAGAAAAGGCTCGTTATGTGCACCGGTCTCGTAAGTGTTCGACAGTTTCAGCAGCGTGATGCACGGAAGAACAGACTGTGAATACCGGAACGCCGGGATATTTAAACGAACTGAACAATGAACCACTCGTTATGTCCGTCCGTGAGAGAGAATGTCGTATTAATGGACGACGCAAAAAACGTTCGAAACCCTGCACCTGAAAAACTCTCATTGCTTACGTATATGTGTCTACATACATATAAATATATGCCATGACGTGAGAAACTGCGTCATTAGTTATTGATGTATGCGTTATGATGTTATATTCACCTTATTCCTATAGTTGTTTTATGACTGGTTTAAGTTATTTCAAGGGTATATTTACTACCTACCGCAGCCTTAAGTAACACCTTTTATTACGTTAGCTTTATCTTACTCTCGCTGCTTTTTCCTAAGGTGACAATCTTAATTCTAACATTTCTATGCATGTGTTAACAAGAAGTCTGCCTGACAATTTTTACTTCGGGACCTCCTTTTGTATTATAATAATTTTCTATTTTTATTTTACTAAATACTGCATAAACTTTCAAAAAGACAAGTGTGGTTATAGATAGCCGACACAGTGAAAGCACTTTAACGAATTTCAAGGCGCCACAGGAAAATTTTTTTATGTGCAAGTTCACTAAATTTAAACAGCTGCGTAAAACCCTATCGTCAACTAAAGCAAATACGAGGTGTTCTAGTGAAATTTCAGCCCAATTAATCATCGAGTCCCGTCCACGTATGTGTTTCTGCTTGCTTAGCATATATTGTAAAATACAGGAATATTTCGCAGCACTTGTGGAATAAAGACCTAATTTACCACGATTAAGTCAGTGTGCGAGCTCCCATGAACCATCATGGCAAAATGCTCTGCTGCACCAGAAAAGACGTCTATTTCAACACCCAACACGGGAGGTTGAGGGACTACATACAGTAGCTGTCACCCGGACTATGTCTACAGCTAGCTAAACAAAAAAAAAATATGTAAGCAGCCGATTCAACTGAAAGCCAATTGATGTCCACCACTAGCCATAAAAAAAAAGGCCCCAATTTTCGCCGCGTAATGGCGGCAGAAAGTCACGTGTGCATGTGAGATTAACAATTCTGCGGAGATGACCTCACCGCAGCAAGCATATATGACCGGGTTGATTAGCAAAAGTAAGGAGAGGTTTTTTTTCTCTCTCTCTCTCTGGAGTAGGTGCAGTTAGGCTGATGAGAATTATTACGTTCGTCAAGTGATAATGAAGCACTGTTGGCAACGTCAAAGCATTGCCAACGGCGCTCTGTTCGTTAACATATGCGTGCCATGAGTGCTATCATTGCAAGCGCTACCCACCCACTCACACAATGAAGTCGGTTGATGATTGATAAAACGACGCTCGCCGTTGGCGGAGCTGACCGTAGATTTGATTGGCTAAACTTTTATTGGGTCCTCCAAAGGAGGACACGGTAAAACTGTGCCGCAAGAACTGCGGTTGTACTTCTTGATGTGATCAATATGGCATGTAAGGTGTTCGAATGTACCATGCAATGTGTTCGCAGAAATTAAATGAGCTCTCCACCAATCAAATCGCACGATTCGGCAATTCGGTGATTCGTGATCAATGTAAATGCGCGGTAGATGATCAAGGGCGATAAGCAGACGGGGACTAGCCTGTAGACTATTCACTGAAGGTTAATTTTTCCCATACCGCGTACATATTACTGAAACAGGAAAGGAAAAGATAGCCGTTAAAACAATCACAAAGACCAATTTTTACACCCCGTGCACGAGGCAGAAGAGTAGACTCACGGACCACGCTCGTTATTTCTCAGGAAATGTAGAATTATTTATCTGAGAAAGCAATGGACAGTTTGCTGAACTTCAGGTGACAGTCCGCGCTTGAACCCATTAGTTATTAGTCTCTGGCAGTCTACCACACCGATTCGGTCGCCTAATTTTGTTAAACTGAAGTGCATAACCGTTGGGTTCAATGGCGCTTTAGTTTAAAAGCAAGGTTAGTGTAAATGAATATTTGGCCTATTTGACATTTTAAGTAATATGTACAGTAATCATGCACATAGCATACAGCAGTCTAAACAAATTTTCCCTAAAACGCCCTTCAAGCATTGTTCGCAGCACCGGAAGTGAAATAAGGCAGCAAAAAATTTCTTACGGGATGTTGACATTAAAAAAGCTTATAACTTTCCGATTCCTACAATAGCTGCTATACATTTTTTTACATCGCAGGTTGTTTTCTCGGTTAATCTTTTCATCTTACCACTTTCCGTTCCACCTCGCGCAGAGTAAACCTCTCACTCGGTTATTCTCCATGCTTTTCGGCAATTTCCTCGATCAACCTGTTTTCTTTACTCATTACCATTTATGAATTTTTTGACGAACAGCGCAGTCTTGCAACCAATAGGAATTAAAATACGCGAGGGTTCTTTCAAACCATCAAGGTGTACTTTGTCGACTACCAGCGACCTAAACGATGTACCGACGCCTGTGACCCGCGCGGCACCCATCGCCTGGCTGCCAGTGGTACGAGGACGAACGGTATACAATATGGCCTACGTACTTTGGGAATGCTCAACGAACGATGATAAGCCACGAGGAAGGACGACGCTAACTGGGAGACGTTCTGAAACGAGGTGCCTTGCTGAGAGACGGAAGGCAGCCCTCCTCGTCGAGGACCCCAAAAACCAGCTGTGGGCCATCCATCATCGAGAACTTCGAAAATGTGCTTCGAACGGTGGATCCCTGTCAGTTTAGCCGCGGGCACAGTAACTATTGGTCTAATGAAGTTTATTCAACTATACACGAAACTTTTCGTGTTTTTTTTATAAAGCAAATGAAAGCCCGGACCCTGAGAATCCCAATAAGTGAACTGGTGAGGACGAGTGCACCAGTTCACCAGGTGAGTGCACCAGGTCAGCGCCAGGCCTGCGCACAACACGCAGCACAATAACAGAGAAAGCTATAGAAGAACGCCCTTTCCAGAACCCCTCGTAGAGGTCTTCGAAGGTGTGATAACGGCTTTCGCTGTAAAACTACCTAAATAATTGAAAGAAAAGTTGTGGTTCCTGCTGCACTCTGACGTCACCGCACGTCATGAGCTTCTTGTGACGTGGTCACGTAAGATATCGTGACGTTCCCACAGCCGTTCTTCTCCGCGACTCGTATCACAGGGGGCCATTTCGCCTGTTTTGCTACATGACGTCAGCGCAATTAGCCATGCTGGTACGCGAAGACACCTGAATCAGACGCTATAGACTGACGCCATGCAATGACGCCGACGTCAGTACATAGGTGCGGAGTGATAAAATTTCCAAATGTAAAAAATGAAACATCAGCATATCTTGTATATGAAACTTTCTGAGAGCCATCTCTCTGCACAGGACATTTAATCCCAAGAAAACACTTTATTTTCTTAAAGACACCTTAAGCGGGTATTGCATAAGGGGTAGGATTAGCACACAGCCAGGTGATGTCAATCGGTACGGACACTTGTTACATTGTCTAAAAAAATTCATGGAATAGTGATTGCCACAATGTAGTGGGAAAGGACATTGCAAAATATAACGGTGGGAACACGGAAGCATGGCACTTGTAGTTCATGTCCGGTGCGCTAAGGCATGCGGATAAGGCGAACGATGTAAAGTATATGGTCGAAATCACTGTAAAAAAAAAGAAGACAGCGTGCCATGGTCAAATGACGACGAAGACATAAATTATAAAAGTGGAATTCTACTTGCAGTGATGATTATTATTCATATGTGGTATGAATGAATCTACGTCTCAGCAAAGACTGTTTGCTGGCCCAGTTGGTACTTACTTAGGGACATGACTTAGCCACGAACTAGAACACACGCATGCAGGTCCTGTAATAAAGGTTATTCTGTTTTGTGCGTTCTAATTCGCGGCTAAGTTATGCCTTCACTCTAGCAATACGCTTTGGACTGTTTACAAGGCAGAGGCGAAGCTGGATTGGTGTGGGTTACAGGTGGCGATTGCGTGCCCCAGTTTTCGTCTGACGAGCGATTTATAGGCTAGGAAGTTTGTATGGCGGAATAATAAATATAGCTCCTGTAAATGGTTTCACTAGCTTTTCGAACAACGAGTGTCACTCCAAATGGAATTGTACCAGGAATGCTAGAGGGCATAAAGAAGACGCATTTCTCTGAATTGAGCAAATACCGTGCCTATAGACAATATATAATGAGGTTCCATTCTCGCACGACAGGTACTGCGTTCGCCGTGCCTTGATTATTCATTTATCTCAATTCAGCGAGCGTACAACAGAACGAAGAAATAATGAAAAGTACCTCCTGCGTAATGAAGGTGTCAACCGACTCAAACTAACTATCGTTTTTCTCTCTCATTCGTACGAGCAATGTTGGAGACACTCTCTACTAACTAGAAGTGTTTATTGTTATTTTGCTACGCTAGGCTGAAACACAGAGGCAAAGCGAAAAGACAGGAGACGCACGTGCGCAAACTGGCGGACTTTCTTCAAGTTTCGTCTTGGTGTGGAACAATTCTTTTCTCGCTTTAGTATCAAAGAAAGGAGCTCATAGCTAAGGACTAACTGCTATGATGTTGTAGCTTGCTTGAAAGAAAGTGTATTTGAAATATTTGAGCAGACACAGAGAGAATACTGTTGAACATGAACTGGCTACTCGTGAAGGGGTCTGTTCCTCAGCAATGTTGATTGCTATAGGCTACACCGGCACACAGAACCCGAAGCCATCCAAGACCTGTGTTTGTAAAGAACAATAAGGTCTATAGTGTAACAAAAGGACGATGCCATACTTACAAGGCCCCGTGAAAGCCTTATTGACGCAATGAATACGTATATTTTTATAATAAAATAGAAAGTTTGTCGCATGCTTCGGTCTGGTCAGCGTAAACTGAGTTTCTCAACTCTCGAAGAAAGCCTCATCAACGGAAACACTTGAAAAAGAGACGGATGCTCCATGGTGGTACACAAGCGAGTAATAAAAACTCATCAGTCGGGTATATTGACGCATGAACTCCAAATAAATCTGGAAAACAGCCTACAAAGGGGGACCATTACAGCGAGACACCATATCCACCCACTTTCGCAGTCGTTTGACACGTTAACTTTCCAAGATAGGATTACGCCAAACGAGGAATAAAGAGAGTGTTCTCCTCATCAAAAAAGGTGCAAATCAACTCAGGCCTATTTACGTACACAGCACATGCTGTACTTGGTTGGTTTGCCTAAGCTAACGCAACTACTTTTGTCCAGCACGGTGGTAAAAGAAAAAAAAACAAGCAAAACAATTGCAGAAAACGTATCCCAGACACGGTGATATTCTGTTTTGATAAAACATACGTACGCGACGAATACTGTTGCTCAACCGAAACGGTACTAAACAAGCTGTTTTTTTTTCTCTTTTTTCCTTGTTGTTTCCCACTCCGCACTACAATGGGTTGCTTTCAAAGAAGCTGTGCGTGGCGAAAGTGCCTTCGGATGTAAATAAAACTCTAGAAACGACGTTCAGCGCATCGTGGTTCCCGAGGCGCGCAAACGCTGCGGAAAACAGGTGCAAACTCCCGCGCTGTCCTGAATAGACGCTGCAAAAAGAGAAAGGCGCTGAAAAGCGCTATCTGTGTTCAGCCTGAAAAGTTGACGACGCTTCGCCTAAACGGATCCTCTGTTTTTCAGTTCCTCCGAAAAAAGCGAGAAGCGCCGCAAATTATGCGCGCGTTGGCGGCGGCGCGCCTCATCGCCTGCGGCATCATCATGTCGAGCACCGCAGAAAGGTCATTCAAGATTGACTACGACAAGCACACTTTCCTGTTGGACGGCAAGCCCTTCCAGTTTGTCGGCGGCGCGCTTCACTACTTTCGCATTCCCCGACCGTACTGGGATGACCGGCTCCACACGCTGCGCATGGGTGGACCGAACGTGGTGGACTTCTACATCGACTGGAGCGGCCACGAACCGGAACCCGGACAGTACCACTTTGTCGGCGAATACGACCTGGTCGCCTTCCTGGAGGCCATCATGAAGGCCGACCTCCTGGCCATCGTCAGGCCGGGGCCATTCATATGCGGTGAGGTGGACAACGCGGGCTTCCCTTATTGGCTCCTGCGGAAGCACCCGAACATGCAGTACCGCACAATGGAGAAGGAGTACCTGGAAGAAATGACCAAATGGTTCGAGGTTTTGCTGCCGATGCTGGTTCCGTACCTGTACAAAAACGGCGGGCCCATCATAATGGTTCAGGTCAGTGTCGTGAAGCCTGTGAGGTCATGGGAATAGTGCCTGTTTCAGATAACTGGTTGCACATTGAGCCCAGTTTCCGACCAAACGCAGTGCCAAGGAAGAAAGGTTCCGCTAAGTCGCGGTAAATGTTACACCCACCAAAGCGGTAGATGCGTAAACGATCAGCTACGAGAGCCCTCGCCGTTTCCAAAAACTGTAGCGAATGGTATGCATTTATCTACGCCGATCAAAGATGACCATTCCGCACTCGTCTTTGACAATGCAACTGCAACCACATGTAGTGAAATACTTGGGAAGGAGGGGGAGGGGGGGGAAGCGGATTGTAAAGTAGGCTTTCCACATACACACAGCATCAGACGTGCCCGTTAGTATAGTACACCGCTTACTGACAAAGGAACTGGGGTATCTGGTAAGGCGTTAGTATATCAGAAAATTTTCGGCACGTTTGCATGCCCGCTAACCATATTCAAAATATGTTCAATATTATTAAGAAGGTATTTCACGAGAAGAAGGAGGAGAGGTCGGCCTGGAAGGCGGGTTACTAGCCTGCTATTCCTCACGTGGGTAAGGAGAAAAGAGAAAGAAAAAAATTCAGTTCTATGTGATGCTCTGTCCACCTCTCGGTAACGCTTCTTTCTTTACCGTGCTATTTTCTATTATGATGATGATAAGCATAGTTAATTAACCTCTAAAACCACCGTATAATGATGAGAGACGCCATAGTAGAGGGCTGCGGAAATTTCGACCACCTGGGGATCCTTAACATGCACCCAAATCTGAGCACACAGGCCTAAAGCATTCTCGCCTCCTAATTTAAAAATGCAACCACCGCAGCCGGGATTCAATCCCGCCACCTGCGGGTCAAAGGCCGGGTCCCTTAGCCACTATACCACCGCGGCGGGGCTTTCGTTTTCATTGTAAAGTTGCAATTCAATCTTGACGGCTTTCGCGCGAGCACGCGGAGACAAAGAAGAGAAGCACACGGACGAGCGAAATCAAACAACAGGTTTACTTTTTGAAAGACCCGCACACCACGAGATCGAATCTCGGCCGCGGTGGCTGCAATTTCGGTGGAAGCGAAAACGCTTGGGGTCCATGTGCTTAAAGATCTGAGTGCACGTTAAAGAACCTAAGGTGGTCGAAATTTCCGTAGCCCTCCGCGACGGCGTCTCTCATAATCATACGGTGGTTTTAGAACGTTAAACCCCAACAATTGAATTGGTCATTAGATTTCGAAAACGTTCACTTAACAATCCTCAGATATAATCTATATCTGATGTGAACAGCACACTTCGCCCCTCTTGTGATCACATGCCCCAAGGAACATATGACAAAAGCGATTTTTTTTATCAAGCAAGGGAACTCGGAGTCATTGCTTATCATTGGAAAAGACCACCACTACCTGTCTCGAAGTATGATTACCATGTCTGTATTCGATGGTCGCGATACCAAAATAAAGCGTGCGTGCGCACTCATTGCAACGCAGCGCTAAATGTCCACAGGATGGCCTTTCAGGCACGTTCTTTGCCTCCTGTTAATACAGTTTGTTCTAACAGGCCGACACCCAAGTTTTGCCTGAATTCTCAATTGCACACCACTGGCGTCGCATACATCCTTCTGTGTGACTCGTCCGTAAGTTCGGCTGGGAACAGTCCTCACGATGACACGAGGTTTACCGAGCCACCATGCATGTCACTGCACAGCTATGCGTTTTCGATTTAGGCGATTGCGAAAACGGAAGTGTGGGTGCTTTAAGCGCCGTGATCGTGGAAAATTCTGTGGCGTACATGCTAGCAGCGCTGTTTTAGAAGTTTAAAACGGAATTCCCGTGAAAAAAAAAAATGGCTAATACATTCCATGAGAATGCTATAGGCGACACGACCGAACTTTCCCTGTGCGCGTCTTCATTTTGATTACTGAAGCATGTGATCTATGCATTCATTACCTTGTTTTCTAATTTATAACTCTTATCTTCAGCCGCCGCTCATGATTAATTTCCAAAACGCTTCCGTGATTACGTGTAATATTTGTGGGTTGTCTATAAGCTATCCCCTCAAGTGCTGCCATACTGAGACCTGTTACTATACGCTTTCTGTAATTCTGTAACTGGTCAGGTTACGATTCTGTAGGTTGCCGGGCACTGAGTAGCTTGTAAAAAAATCTTTCTTGACAAAAAAGTGACAACTATGACAGCAGTGCAATCACGTACAGCCGGCACGTGAGGCTCCGCAGGGGAACGCTAAAACAACAACAAACACACACAAAAAAGACACTCCCACTCCCCATTCTTCAAGCCACACCCGCACCTGCCGCTTAATACCCAATAGCATTCCCCTGCCTGGATGTACCCAGAGTTGGCACCCCCCTGCCCACAGACAAAGTCCAGCTGCATTCATGGACCGACACGCAATGTGTATAGGTTTAGCCGGCAACACTTGAATAGTCCTGTGCATAACCCCCGTATTTCAGAACGCCCCTTAACTCAACGCTACACCTTCACTTGAGCAAGCCGATGGAAGCGCCATCTCTAGGTAGGGCAAGTCAATGCATATCAGTGATAATTAGCTTCTATTCTTGAGTAGCGCAGCTTCATTTTCCGCCAAGCAGTGGCGCACTACTCAACTCTGTCAAGTGAAGGGTGAAAGTCGAGTCGAGGAGCATTTGTGAATACGGGGGTAAGTCTTGAGATTACTATACGTGTGTATTTCAGACGCTTACGTTTCCAAATTATACAGTTTGCCACGGCAAACCCGCGCCAGCCAGCTACTATGGGTTCTGAAACAGTGCTGCATACTCCATCTCCACCCCAATGCAGGTAGAAAACGAGTACGGCCACCTCGAAAATCTCGAAAGTGCCTGCAACCCCAAGTACATGGAGTTCGTGCTGTCTCTCCAAGAGAAGCATTTAGGCAAGGACGTGGTCATGTTTCGCGCCGACGCACCATCAGAAGTACGGTACGAATGCGACAAGGTGCGCGACATCTTGGTGGCCGGAAACTGCGACCCCAAGGCCAACGTGACCGCAGCCTTTGACATCATACGCGAAGCACAGGTCAAGCCGGGAGGTCCCGTCATGGTGAGCGAGTACTACACTGGTTGGATGAACTACTGGGGCTGGAACGACAATCCGGCCTACGCACCCGCGATCATCAGCACCTTCGAGCAGATGATGAAAGAAGGGGGCAACGTCATTTTCTACATGTATCACGGTGGCACCAACTTCGGCTTCAAGGCTGCCACCAGCGCCGAGTCGCCATTGGTAACCAGCTACGACTATGATGCCCCCATGGGAGAAGACGGGGACCCGAAGGCCTACTACTTCCCCCTGCGCGACGCGATCGGCAAGTACGTTCCGCTCAAGTCTGGCGAGCTTCGCAAGCCCTGGCCCAAGATGAAGGTAGCCGCCATTCGTATGCCGCATAGCAGGCCCCTGAAAGATGTTATGAAGCATTTTCGAGATAAAGGCAGGCTCAAGCAGAAAAGGTCCACGTATCCCTTGACCTTCGAAGAACTCGGCCAGGACTTCGGGTTCCTGTTTTACCACACGGAGCTCAAAGTCAACCTTGACGGCGAGTACTTAATGGTGCTCCATGGTCTCCGCGACATGGCGCAGCTGCTCGTGCGCGACGAACGCCACATTATGAGCATATTCGACATCTCGGAGGTGCCAGCGAAAGCCAACTGCACCGTTAGGCTCAAGAAAGGTGAAAAGCTGTCCATTCTTGTGGAGAACATGGGTCGGGAAGACTTCGGTCCAAGCAATCGGGATCCCAAGGTGAGTTAGAAGGTCGTAAGTCTAGATGTTAAGCAGCACTAACGAAATTGGCTGAGGTCCAACCCTCGTAAATCTAGTTATCACGAGCGAAAGATGTGTTAGGCTTAGTTTGCAGCGACACCCCACAAATTGAAATTATTTCACTGAGTTATTGTGCACGAGGTTACAGCGAACGAAAGCACAGTTGAGTGTGTTTGAGAAGCGAAACATGGCCTCTCCAAGTGCTCCTCCTCAACATGCCTGAAGAGACCAGAGCACACGCACTAGATAAAGTAGTGTCCACTCAACAGAAACTCACTCGGTGGATTTAAGCCGAAACGGTTGTGTCATCCACGATCTTCTGGCTCTAGCGTAGCCCTCACCGATCAGCCCGCCAACCACGATCTCCTAATGCCGTGTAGCTCTCGCCTATCGGTGCCTCATCCTTGGACTCCATCGACCGTGTCCCCCATCTTTCCTATCTCTTCTCTATGTCAATCCTGTGCGGCGAGTGCTCCATTTTTTTATCGTTCTACTATTCTTTTTATCTCCTTCCCTGCAAGGAGTATAGCCTTGTCGCCAGCTAAGGCAAACAGAAATTAGCTAATCTAATATACGTAGTATTCACAATATATAACACGTAGTATTCCCATTATCAGAGAAAACGTGCTTGCGGGCACAACGGAAACAAACCAACACGACTCTCTTGCACACACAAACGACACCGAAGTTCTGGGGGCGTCGCTTCTACTTATTCCTAGTTTGTAAAAACTGACTGCACCAGCGTTTTGTCTCTTTCAGGGATTGACGAACGTGACTGTGGGGAACTTTACCCTGACGGACTGGACGGTAGAGGCTCTACCTCTGACACAGAACAAGGACATCACTGAACTAATCCACTTCATGATGTGGCCAATCAACAGCAAACAAGGAAAGAGCCCACACTTCTACTACGGCTGGTTCACGCTGCCCGAGGGACAGGAGCCGCGGGACACGTTTCTCGACCCCTCAAACTACACAAAAGGTGTGGCGTTCCTCAATGGCATCAACCTGGGTCGCTACTGGCCGGCCGTCGGGCCGCAGGTTAGGCTGTACGTTCCGGGAGTCTACATCAGGCCGTATCCCGAGGAAAACAAGCTCATCTTGTTCGAATTGGAAGGACTTCGCACTGAGCACCCTGACCGAGGTGTTAGCTTCAGCGATTTGCCTTGGCTCAACGCCGACACGGGAAAACCTCACCCCTAGCGGGAATGTGTGAAAGATCGGTCACCTGTAGGGTTAGTTGATTCGTTGCAACATATGTAACAAGCACGCAACACCGAAAACGACGACGACAGAGACGGCATGGAAAGAGCTCGGACTTCGACCTGTTTTTGCCGCGGACAATACCAGGTGTATGTACCGACGGAATACCAATAGTCTATAGCGGCAAAGCACGTGGTAGTGAACGCCGTTGCTCGCTGCTGCTACAACACCTTAGATACAATATGCTCTTTGTGCTTCAATTATAGTAGGAGGACCTAGACATACCGTAGGATTAGGTTAGCTATCATTGCGCTGCCTTGCTTGGAACGTTTCTGTAGAAAACGGCAGCTGGATTAGCACCGAAGGCGTTCTAGACAAGTGTGATTGCGTCTGTACATACGAAGTGGCAGCCGGTAAGGAAGAGAAGCAAAGACAAAAAAGAAAACCAATAAAGGCAGATCGTATGCCCATATACCTGGTATCGTCAGCGGAATAAACAGTTGGAGGTCGTCGCTCTTCACACTGTCTCTGACGTGGATCTTTCTAGTATTGCGCGATGTTACTTGTGTTGTGAAAGATAAGCAATAGTTGACACTGCTGCACATTGCGTTGGGTCCGTGAGGACTGAAAGTCAAAGGGTGTAGCAAACAGTTCCTCACTCGACAGGGATCACGGCCATCACCACATTTCGTTGTACCACTTGATGGCATGCGAATGTCCTTGGCAAACTGGAGTTTCATTGTTTTTACGCATCATCATCCAACTATTAGCAGTAGCACGCTCAGAACCCAGTAAATAAACATGTTAGTTTTCAATGCCTCATGATTCGTGCACGAAGTCGCTTGTCGTAATCTTCCGTTTACAGAGGAAAGCATACAGCCGATGTTCTTATAGTTACCTAGTTGTTTGTCGCGGTGCTTGGTTGCTGGCCCGAAAGCTGCTTGTTCGAAACCGGCGGCAGCGGTCGCACTTCGATACCGGGGAAATGCTAGAAGCAGGCTTACTGTGCGATGTCATTGCACGCGAAATAACAGAAAATGGTAAAAAAATTTTTTTTATTGGAGAACTTCACTACGACGCATCTTATTATCGTATCGCGGTTTCGGGCAAGTAAAACCACGGATATTATTACGCTTATCATCTCGGTTCGTGCATTTATTGTGAAACGTTGTTGAAAAAATTACACCATCTCTCGTTCAAGGAAACCACGTGTAGGTGCGAAGCAGCGGACGCTGACGCTGGCGTCGACGCTGGCACTTATCGAGGCGTTGCGCAGCAGAGAAAGATGGGGAGGTGCAAAGCACGCACCGATGGACCGGTCTTTCCTACTCGAACATGCCGATCCCTGCTAATGGGCAATGAGAGACAGAACAATCCGACTGGACACAGAGACCCGCAGTGCACTTTTAGTTAGCGCTCACGCTGCGAATTATCATTGGTCAAAAACGGGCAGGACGAACCTCCCAACGGCACTATTGGAGGTAAAGATCCAGTGCCTATACATATGAGGTGGGCGAACGGGTGCGCAGCGCGAGCAGCAGGTTTGTTCAATGAAGAAACTCGCTAACAGGCGCTTCCTGCATCGGCGTTGCGAGGTGAGAGGGGACGCGCATGCGCAGGGGGGTTCAAATGCCGCTGAGAGGGAACCTAGAGGAGAGAGAGGGCGTAGAAGAGGACAGATGTGGGGGAGGGGGGTGCGCATGCGCAGTATAGGTGGTCACGCCGGATTGAACTCGACCGCTTTCGCAACACAAAGGCCATGCCTCCTCACCGTAGCGGGTGCTAAGAGGGCCAATGAGTAGATGACTGCGGCTGTGTTTGGGCGTGTTGGTAAGTCGCGAGTCATACTAATAGCGTTTAACGCGCACAACCACACGAGGAGACTGACGAACATGTGAGAAATTATGTCGCTTTCTACACCACTCTGCAAGTTGGTGACCGTACGTGTAACGTGTTCTTTGATATCCTCGTCTTGTTGTGCCATTAAACACGATTAATTAGTAGAGCCTACATTAGCACTCGCACCTAATTAGCGGCATTTCCTACATACGTAGTAGTAGCGAATTAGTATTGTCTATAAATCAACGTAGGCTTGAAGAGCGTATGTTAATCAGCGTCGACGTCAAAACTGACTACATTGTTCTCAGTTGGAACTATGACCTCTCACCGGAGGCATGACTTTTTTAGTTGGCTTCCGGCGATAACACGAGGTACTACAAATTGAAGCGGGGTGGCGAGATTCGTGCACCAGCTATTCGCTATAAACCATTCGTAAAAGTTGCAAGCTGGTGTTGAAGCGACTCCGATTCTTGGCAGACTCACACTTCGTACCTTGTGCCTGGTCGCGGCATCAAATCTCGGGTGCGGCAGCCACATGCGATGGATGCGAATAGTTATGGTATCTTCAACTATAGTCGCCTCTGGCCTTCAGCCCAGAGGCGGACGGATCCGGCATTGCACGCACTCTGGGGCGAAGTTAAACGCTCGACCTGAACGCCAAACTGGTTGCCGGAGGTAAACTTTAACAAAGTGTTTGATTGGGCTGGTTGGTGTTGCATGGTAGACGAAGAAAGTGCTTAACAGCGCAAAAAAACAGGATGGGATAGAAGAGACGAGAACATAGCGCTCTGTTCTCGCATCTTTTATATCCCCTCCCATCGTTTGCGCTGTTAAGCACTTTCTTCGTCTATCGTTGCCGAAACAGGAGGAACCAAGAACCTAGAGCGAAAATCTTTTTTTTTTCTAGTACAAGCCGTGTCGAAACCGAGCCGAAGCTTCCCACGCTCTGAAAGAAAATCGCCGATGCGCGGTTGAAACGAGTCGCCAACAAGGGAACGCTAAGCTGGGCGAATTACTGGTCGCAGGCGTGGATTAGGTCGTCATCGCCGTCGTATACTTCGCCGCTGGTCTACGGGTAGGGTTGACAAAGGTAATGGCATCAGCTCAGCGCTAACAAAACTGTGCTGATACCAGACGACGCGATCACTTCATGTGACGCCGCCATAACCACAATGCTGCTTCTGATCACTCCTGACCGGAAGTGCTCGCACTGCAAAGTCGAAAGGGCTCGGAGCAGCTCAGAGCTATCGACGAGAGCGATTGAAAGAACTAGCCGTACGCGAAGCGCATGCTCCCTTTCAACCAGCCGAACGCCATGTCGCTCGCGAGAGCGTTCTAGAGCGCTCCGAAACAACCAGGCGAAGATGACATTAGAGGACCGTAGATTCAGGTGCACGCTGAGGAATCCAATGTGATCGAAGTTTCCGGAGCCCTGTTATATACGGAGTCTCATATTCATGAATTGATTTCGGGACGTACAACTCCAAAAGTATCCGCTTCTTAAAAGTTCGGTAATGACAAGGACGCAGGATTGAATTGAAGTGAAAATTTATTTGCCCTGAAAACAACTTGCAGGAGCAGAGACTAAGGGCCAAGCAGCCTGACAAAGGGCCTCTAGACGCCGCCCGATACAAGAGTAGGGGCGGGTTTACGGCAGCCGTATATCATAGCAACCAACTCTGTAACTTGTGCGCGACAATACGCATATATTGAACAAGAACATACTTTCTAGTGATGCAAACTGAAGGGTTCGGACGCAGAAAAAGATGAGGCAGCTGCAACGTTTCTCCAGCGACCCCACCGCTATACCGCTGCTGTTGCTATACGGGTATTTCGTACGTTTCCCCGCTTTTGGCTGAGGACGCATACCATCGCCAGCAAAAATTTTCAGAATACATCGCGCGGCAAAGCGACGTAAAACTACATCACTGCGCGATGAAGCGACGATATCAAGGCTATCGGCGACAGCGAATAGCGACGGCACGTTTATGCAACGGGCCGTTGCCGGATCTTATCGTGGAGGCAGAGGCCGGTATCTTGAACACCTGCCACGTCACGGCTTATAGGCGCTGCAGTTTCTCATCGCTCCGCCACTGCGGCCGATCTTGCTAACTTTTGCGGCCGAAAAGTATACAGTAGCAACCGAAAAAGAATAGAACGTGCAAATGACCCGTCACCGAAGCGGTGAGATTGCGACATGCGGCGCTGCCTTTTGCCTGAGCGCGCCGACATCAAGCGTGCTAAGCACGTTCCATTTCTAAAGCAGGGGTGGTCCGCGGAAAGCCCTGCGACGCGCAGCTTCATCTGGGCAACTGCGATAAAGACACGGTTGATCGCAACTTCAGCGAAAACAAAAGCAAAACAAAAAGGCTATCACTCGCATAGCCACATCAGCCGATAAGCAATGGACAAGCGTTTCTCCAAATGTGGGCTTCTGGATCTACCAGCCGTAATACGGGCTGCTGTCCGCCCGTCTGCCGGCCACCCTTGGTTTGGAAATCGGTCGTGAACAAATTTTGTCGCAATTATGCGGCTCAGGCCTTCATTCACTCGAAATATTCTTCTTTTTCCGTTGAGACTGTACATCTGCGGCGTCCAGAGACGATTATCTGCAGCAGCGCTCGGGAGCTGTCATGTTTGATCACGTGATCGTAACAGCCCTTCCGCCACACTGTTCCACCAGCGCATTGTAGCAGCGGTTGTGTCCGCACAGAATAACATGCTTACTATGTTACTATACGGTATCGGTACCACACGACACCAGCACGTGGCAGTATACCCATGCAGATGCGACCACCCGCTTCGATCCGAATTCGCGCTTGCTGCTCGCCCACTGCCTTCACAGGCATAAAAGATTGGTGAAATCGGTAATCGCTTCGTGTCATTTCACGCCGGGGACAAGGCGTCAGGTAGGCTGCGTCTTCATTGTTGAGACTATCTGTGTTTATTTAGCCATGAATGCTAAGCCCCGTCAATGGTAACTTGAGAATGAACCTTAAAAGCACTGCAAAACACCGACGAATACATTACTCATGAGGCTTCGGGACGTAAATGTAAAGAAAATAAATGCGTAGGTTGCCAACTTACGGGCCCCACAGAGCAGGACGGTGACGTGAAGTTCGAGACGGAAAGAAACTGCTTCCAGTGGTGCCACCGGGTTG